CGCAGGAGTTTTGATGTCGGGACACACCTGGACCCTCGCAAGGGCAGCAGTGATTCCACTCTTCTTGTGGACCTAAGGAAAGAGCAAATCTGTGGGAAATATTTTATGGATGTCTTTGCCTGTTTGCCGTGTTTGTTTTACAGTCTTGAAGACAGTGAGGGGAAAAACCCCTTATTTTTTCTCTGTCTTTAAAGAGGAGACCGACCTCCAAAAATATGCTAAACTGTCTAGGTCTAAAGTAATTTCCTTCTGAAGTCATTCCACTGTCTGTTTCCCAGGTGGTTTAATAACCAGGAACTTGAAAGCCTAAAAATTTTACTCCTTTTTTTCTTCCTGTGAATAGCCAGTTAGGTAGGGAAAACTGCATTTGTCTTTTAAAAATACTTGGTGCTGCTTTGATATGTGGTTTTAATATTATCTGGAACGAGACTTAACCTGAAGCCATTTGGTCAGGATCTGTGCTGGGCTGGTGCTGGCACACTTTGTAGCACTCAGTGAAAACTGGGGGAGAGAATTGTCCTTTTCTGTGCTGTCTTTTGGGAGGGGTCATTGTGTGGATGGTTTTTTAAGAAATAAATAATCAAGCCTACAAAGAAACCCTTTCCTATCTACTCATTATTTCCTTCCTTTGAGACTTTTTGGGATTAGCCAAGAAATAATATAAGTGGGACCAAGTGGGATGAGGTCTCTGCTGCAGGACCAACTCCCTTTCCTTTCCCTTCTGCCTCCTCCAATAGTGGAATTAAATATCAAGGGCAATGGACACAATAATGTCCAAGAGTTTGGTTGGCTTGTTGTTCAGCTCCCTCTTAGCCACACAAATGGATTTTGAAGTCAGTTCTGTCAGTCACATGTAGTGGTCAGGGTTAGAAATAGTGATGTAGGAGGGTTTCAGTCTGGGAAAGTTTATTAATTTAAGGCTTGACCATTTCCCCTACCACTGTTTCTAGATGAAATTTGGCTGCACTCTAATTTTAGCTTTTTCATTTGCACCCATCTAAGCAGTTTGCATCCTGGCGTTGTAATTTTATTTAAGATGACTGCAGTGGTGCTCTGAAGTCACAGTTCTTATACTTTTATATAATGGAAGATCTGGAGCTGCTTGTACAGGAGCTTCTGTCATTTAGAATGGATTATATTAATGAGCTTGATGAAATGTTTAAAAGGCAAAGAGCCCCATTTATTGTTAGGCTCTCTCATGGGAAATGCTGCCTCTAAATCAGTTTTTTGGAGTTGGCAGCAGCAGTTCCTGTGTGCAGCTGGTCCTGGTGTTCCCTGGTTCTCACTGCCCATCAGTGAGAGCTCCAGGAGTGGCCATTCCAGCAGGGCTGGACAAGTGTTACTGGTTTATTGGGACCAGCACGTGGGAGGTTTGGGGGCACTCTGGGGGTGTGAGTGTGGTTATAGCCAAAGCTGCTCTGCTGAACTAGTGCCTCTTTATCTTAATTCCAAATTTTCCCTTCTTTGGTGTGTGTCCCAACAGTCAGAACTGCTTGTTTTGTTGATCACAACAAAATGCTGTTTGTTACCAAATTACCTGAGCCAACCTTTGGGGGAAGGAACCCAACTGTGTGTGCAGGGCTGGGCAGGGCAATGAGGCTGCTCAGGGGGTGTGACCCCAGCAAAGCCAGCAGTTCAGGGCTCTGCTCCCAGTTAATTTTGTAACTGGGATGGTGAAAAAGCAGGAGCTTTTCAGGATGAGTTTTGAATGGGTCTGGAGTTGAATTCATGACCTTCGAATAACTGTTAAAAATATCGGAAGGCTTGTACCTATTAAAATGTGATCTGTACATTAATTTTGCTCTTGAAGATTAGCTATTATTGGTTTTTATTTTAAAAATTTAATTTTAAAAATTAAATTTGAGGTTGTGCAGATGTGTGCTGGCTCATCAAAAAGGCAGGGAAAAGCAGCGGTAGGAAAAGGAGCTTTCTTTTACCTTTGTGGGAATTCAGACTGCTCTGATTAGAGCCTCAGCCTAACAAAGGCTGTGCTTATTAAAAACAAATGCATGTCCTATTAGTCACCAATATCTGGCAACCTTATGTACTTCAGATTTATCATGAACTCTGCTTAGGTGGTCCCTGCTAGAGAGAGTCTCAATTTCCTTGATTGTTCAAAAGAGTATATTCTTTTTTTTCCAGATTAATAAAGTACTGTATTTACAACTCTATCCTAAACTTGTTCTGTTTATTTTCCCTTTCTTACTGACAATGTATTGCCCTGGATTTTGAATTCTGACTTCTGCTTGCTTTGTACCAGGATCCCGAGGTGTGGGGCAGGTGTCGGGTGGTGGGACTGTGCTCTAGGTCTGGGTGTTGTGGGGCCCTGGCCAGATGTGGGAGGCAGAGTGAGTTGATGGATGGTGACTGGGTTGATGGATGGGTAACGTGGTGAACAATAACCCATCACTGGCACAGGGTGCTGGAGGAGGGAGAAATCAGGAAGGACCAAAGGATAGGATGTAAACAGGGTGCTGAGCGAGGCTTGTCTATGTCCTCAGAGCCATCTGATGATGACTGCTGCTAGTTATTGGTTCAGATCACCTCCAAGGGCATCTTTCCATCACCAGTGTGGCCCTAAGGGCCATTTGGGGAGTGAATTCATCAGTTCTGGTGAGGTGTGTTTAGGGAGTGTTGAGACTCTTAGCTGTCCTTTGGAACTTTCTTTTTTCCTGTGTCATGACCTCTGAATGTGAACAGGCAGTGCTGTCTGGTGGCCTGTTCCCAAATTTAGAAACTTTCCCAAGATCTAAACACTTAGTCTAGTATGTTGAAGGTTGCTCAGCTCCCATAGAAAATAAAAGTCTGTGGGTTGTGTTTGCATGTGGGACCTCCAGCCTTGGCCTCTTTCTCCTGAAAGTGGAAACACTCATTTAATGCTCAAGATTGAGTATTAGCAAGAGGCACTTGGAGACTGTAGGGTAGAGAGAATGTTCTTTATTGAGCTGGGATCTGGTTGCCTTCCTTTAACTTCTCAAAAATGCTTCCTACAAGCTCTGCTGGAACATGGGGCAGCCCTGTGAAGGGATCCTCTGAGTCACTGGCCACAGGAGTGCAGGACCCCTGGAATTTTATTCCTGTGACAGGTGGAATTAATGACTGGGGAGCTGTTGATGAGCTTTATGCCCCAAACTGATAATTTTAAACTGCCAGAGGATGGGAGGTGACCAGAACCTGGAGAGGCAGCTGTGCTTTCTGCAGCTGCAAATTTGTGGGAAGGTAACTTCCTTCAGAAACAGTTGAAAATTTCAGGGATTTTCCCAGCTCATCTGGCTTGTGTGGTGGATGTTCTTACCTTTGGTTATGGTCAGGGCTTTGCTGTAGGATAGAGCCTACTCCAGCCAGCAGATCCCTGTGCAAGATGGGTGACCTTTGGCCTGTTCTTGGAACACCCCATGGAATTAGTGATGAAAATCTGCTTGTCTGGAAAATAAAGCCAACAGAATCCTAGAGTTAGAACTCATAATAAAATCTTTTTTTTTTGTCTCTCTGTTCTCATACCCTAAAAAATGGTACAGGCAGTTTGCCCAGGAGGGCACTCACTGAGCAGAGCTGGTTTGGGCTGTCCCAGCTGGGGAGCTGTGGTGCCTTCCACGATCCGCTGGCTGCCCGTCCCTGCCTCTGCTGTGTTTTGCCTGTTCAGCTGTGCTCACACAATCGTCTGTCTGTGCTGTCAGGCAGATGAGATGCTGGGGGGGGTCATCCAGAGCGTTTCAACCACCCCCCATGTGGCAGCAGAGCCAGGGTCCAGCAGCAGCCCCGGGAATGTGTTCCAGGGGCGGGGAGGCAGCAAGCTGGAGCAGGGCCCTGCCAGAGCTGCATCCTCAAACAATGGCCTGAGCAGAGAAAAGCTGTAATAACACTGAAGGACAAGTACAATCCTTGGCCCTGGGAGAATGCTGGTGAGCTCATTCTGGAAGTGTGCGATGAGAAGATTCTTCTGCAATTGTGGAGGGATTGGGAATGTTTTTTGCCTGTGTCTGCTCTTCTGTAGGAAAAACAGATCATATGAACGAGGGAGATCAGCAAATCTGTACTTTGAACTTAAGTAGGGAATATTCCCAAGGTTGAAGAAAGCTCCCAGAGACTGGCTGTCTTTTTTCCTTCTACTTGAGCCAGGCCACTTGAATTCCAAAGCGTGTGTGACACAGAGTTTGTGGAGCCAAAGGGAGGGTGGCTCAGCTGCTTCAGCCTTGTTCCTGTCAGTTGTTTCTTGCTCTTGTCGATAAGCCCCAAAGTAGAGGGAACCTCCTACCACAAGATGTAGCTTTTGTTTTCACAATTCCTTTCAGGAATGCTGGGCTTTGTGTGCTGAAGATCTCTCTGCACTAACATTTTTCTGTTAACATGGCAACACAGCGTGTGGAGGCAGAGCTTCTAGCTCATCTTTTACTTCTCATGCAGCCTACTAGAACTTGTTTTGCTGGATGAAGTTCTGCTTTGCTTTGTATCTTGCTTGTGGTATCAGATGTCTCCTATTTCCCCCTTTTTGTGGTGAAGGTATTTGTGGATTAAATTATTGAAATAAAACACCCTGTACGACTCCAACAGGAACTGCAAATAATTGTTTACTTGGGTGTTTTGCGTTTTTAACAACAATAGAGTAGGTTTATACTGTACAGAGGCTTTTGTTGGGCAGACAAGTGGCCTGTTGCCATGTCTGTAGTGTTTCTTAAAATGTGGCTTGCAGCCTTCCTCTGCCAGAGGTTGAGTGTGCAAGGGACATCTCCTGTCTCTGCCTGCTGAGGTGGTTGGGGCCTCCAAAGCACCTTTGGCTTTGAAAATTGCTCATTTTCACCTCTAAGTACTGAGCAATTTCTCATTTCCACTCCTAAGTACTGAGCACTGAGCAGCTGCTACCTACAGAGCAGCTTGGGGTGGTTTGGGGGCTGAGGAAAGCAAGCTGTGAGTAGCAAAGCCTGAGGTGTTGTCCCTGTAACTCTCTCCTGTGTTTGTGTGGCTGCACAGTTGCTGAGGGTGCTGCCTGCCAGGCCACGCCGCTGCGCGGGGTCAGCGCCGGGGCGAGGAATTAATTGTGAAAATAATGTCTCTCCTTTCAGTTGTGTTGATTGGAGACTCTGGAGTTGGGAAGAGTAACCTTCTGTCACGCTTCACACGCAATGAGTTCAATCTGGAGAGCAAGAGCACCATTGGGGTGGAGTTTGCCACCAGGAGCATCCAGGTGGACGGGAAGACGATAAAGGCACAGATCTGGGATACCGCGGGGCAGGAGCGATACCGCGCCATCACCTCAGCGTGAGTACCCTGCCTTTGCTCAGGAGGGTTCTAGCAGAGGGGCTGCAGATAAATTTATGGGTGGAGAATTAATGAAACGTGTCTGGGACGTGTGACAAGATCGTTATGACAGACTCCAGTGTGGATCCCACTCGTAAGGTAGCAAATCCTTTTGTCGTGTTCCTTGGTTAATATAACGAAAGTAGTTTCTAGATTCTCAAGTTGCTGTTATAGAAGCAAATGATAGCTTAAATCAAAAGTGTGGGAGATTCTGTTGGAGTCTTGTGATGTGGTTTTTTGTCTGCCCTGGATGTGCTGTGTTCATCAGGTGGGGTGAGTGTCATTTTGGATGGAAGCTGGGTACTGTTGGCATCAAGTTTTGGTCCAGGCCACTGGACCAGGCCACAGTGGGTTACTGTAACACCTGTGGCATGGGGTCTCTGCTGCCCCCTCAGTCTTGAGATTGGTGGTATTTTTAGGACAGTCTGCCGCCACAAGGTCCTTTGAAATCTCAATGACTTTAAATTAGTCACAGCCCTGAAAATGAGGTCCAGGCACACGCTGAATAGCCAGGAAGTAAGAAGGCAACTGTGATAGTGCTGACTGTGCAGCATCAGGCACATCCCTGGTTAGGACAGGGTGGTGAGAAGCTTTCACCTATGACACCTTGTTAATCCACAGAGTGCCTTAAGATGTGCCTCTGGGTGTACCTGTTTCTATGCAGGTGAAATTATCTGGCAGAGGACAAAAAGCAAACCCTCTGGTCAGGCCTGGTTCTCCAGGGCATCTTCTGATCAGTGAGTTGATTTTTTTGTTGTGTTACAGATGTGTATCAGTTTCTAAAGGTAAAAACCTTTTTCTGAGTCATGCACAGGTTGAGCCACTTTCATTAAACTCAAGGTAAGGGGAACTTTGTCAAGATAGGAGAAAGCCAGGAGAACCTGGAGCCCATAGGGAGCAATCTATAGGGAAAGGGATGCAGAACCAAAGCAGTGCAGAAGCAGATGTAAGTGGCAATTTCAAATTGCATATTTTCCAGAACTATTAGTGTGGTTTCCAGGATTTTTTTTTGTGACCCTTGAATTGTTCTTTCTGCTGTAAAAACTGTTGCTGAGTCTGGTTCAACAACAACAGGCTTGGCTGCTGGGAACCAGTGCAGCTGCAGTCCTGTGATCCTGCCTCTCCTCTGTGCTGGCACGAGCTCCTGCTCCACACATGGCTCAGCCAGTTCTGCCTGCTCGGCCAGCAGGGACAAGGGAATGTTTTCTGCTGACTTGGTGCCCTGACTCGGTTCAACAACATGTCAGACAGGTGCTGGTAGGATTGTGTGGAAGAGAGATATGGGCATTATAGGATTGATGACACAGATTGGCTTGTGCTGTGCTGAGCCCTTGGCTTGTGCTGAAATGGGCCCAAACCTGCCCTGAGGGAGCAAACTCTGTTCTTGGATCAAGTGTGGGTAGTGACAATGAAGCCCAGAGTCTCCTCTTTAATTTGTAAGAGAGGCAGGAGATATTTGAAGGATCAGGAACAAATACTGACATTTTACTAAGGACTGTTTTCCTAGTAGAAGGTTAAGTTGTGACTTCACAAAACGTCCCAGCAGTACCAATTCTGAAATGGTGGGTTTCTGTGACCACTGTCTGAGCAGACTGAAAACGTGCTGGCCTCTGCAGGCTCTCCAGCATTTTGGTACATACACTGGATTCTTTTAGAAATGCCATTAGAGTTAAAAAAAAAGCTGCATTTGGAACTTGGTTTTGGGTTTAAAAAAAAACAACCAACCAACAGCAGTACTTTTAACCAGCACAACCTTTTCCAAAGTGGAACCCAGCGTAGAAGAGCCAGGTGCCAGGTCTGTCGGCGCGCCCGGGACCGAGCTGTCTCTAAAGGGCTGTGCCTCGTGGTTGCAGGTATTACCGGGGTGCTGTGGGGGCCCTGCTGGTCTATGACATTGCCAAGCACCTCACCTACGAGAACGTGGAGCGCTGGCTGAAGGAGCTGCGAGACCACGCCGACAACAACATCGTCATCATGCTGGTGGGCAACAAGAGCGACCTGCGCCACCTCCGCGCCGTGCCCACCGACGAGGCCCGCGCCTTCGCAGGTCGGTACCCGGGCAGGGGCAGCAGCAGCCCGTGGGCCATGGGCCCACCTGCTTTGCCAGCTCAGTTTCTATCTCCTGATGTTCCATAAATCCAAGCTTTTGCCATAGCACTGTTGTAAAGGAGGAGTAGTGGTAGTTTTGTGCCTGCGCAAAATCTCAGCAGTGAAGCCGCAGCCATGCTGGGAAGTTCAATGTTCCAATGTCTTCTCTTGCACCAGAGCAAACTGGTGCTTTTGTCAGACCACTGAACTCTTGTTCTCAGCTGG